GTGTGTGTGTGTGTGTGTGTGTGTGTGTGTGTGTGTGTGTGTGAGAGAGAGAGAGAGAGAGAGAGAGAGAGAGAGAGAGAGATTCCATATTCTCTTCCCCATTCATGTGTTCATCTTCAACACGAGAAAGTAAGTTGAGCGTAGAAAAAAAAAAAGAGAGAGAGAGAGAGAGAGAGAGAGAGAGAGAGAGAGAGAGAGAGAGAGAGAGGCAGAGAGAGAGAGATCCTGGGCTCTGCAACGGCTGTCATTTTCCCGTTTTCCGTACGATTATGTGGACAAAGGTGAGCGTTTCAACGATTGATTCTTCAGTTCAACCCACGTGCACAAAACGAACTCAGTAAAATGGGTACTAGATGGCGTCCGGAGCGGTCAAGTGAAGGGAGAGCATGGGCGTCATTTCGGCCTAGGCCTGGGATGCCCGCCTCCTCTTCGTCTTCCTCTTCCTCTTCCTCTTCCTCTTCCTCTTCCTCCTCTTCGTCGTCCTCCTCTTCCTCTTCGTCAGCGTCGGACAAACTTAGGAAAGAAGGTAACAGGGAATTGGAGAGGGCCAGCAACACCACATCACGGGCCCATTGTCTAAGGAAGCAGCGGCTAGAGAAAGCCTGGAGCTTGTACTCCCAAGCGCTTGGAGTATCTCATCGGGACGTGGACAAGGCTTCCTGCCACAAGAACCTAGGTGCAGCCAACTGGAGACTAGCGTACCTGGTTCTGGACATCGCTAAGCTAAAGGGGGACAGCGTGGCTTCCAAGTCCTGGCCATCTTCAAGCTCTACGTCGGAGAGAAGTGCGAGCAATGGCGATGGTGAGCTCGAAGGAGCAGAAGATGGCGGTCACGTCGAAGGTGACGGTGCCTTCTACGGTTTGGTGGAATGTCTGTCTGAGGAGGAGGCAGAACAGTTCTTTGAAAGAGCGCAGGAATCGCTGTCCAATTACGTTCAAGGGCTTATCTATTGCAATAGGAACAGACAGAACGTGAGGATAGGACCAGCGGGAGGGAGCACCAGCGCATGGTTGGAGTATGTGGAGAAGAAGGTGGACACGATAACGATGAGGATTCTTCTAGCATTGAAGATAACGCTCGATCCGGACGGACGAGTGGGCAAACTCCGCGCAGTGTGCCGAGCTCTGGCACAGGCGATAGACGTGAGGCGATGCCTCAAGGCAGTCGAGAGAGCGAACTTGTCGCTGGCCAAGGCGTTGTTCATTGGCGCATTGGAGGCTTTCTCCAGCAGCACGGGTGGCAAGAGTGCGGAGGCGTCGAGGGAGCACAAGGAAAAGAAGGCGAAGGAGAGGGAGGGGAGGGTGAAGGAGGAGGAGGAGGAAGAAGAAGAGCCTGAGGAGGAGGACCCATGTTTTGAGACGTCGAATAGACGTGGACGCAAGGCTGCCGCAGGAGGAAAGTGCGACAAACAAGCTGCTGAACGGAAGGAAAAGAAAGCCCGTCGCCAACAACAACTTTACCAGCGCTGCGTCTCTCTGTTGGGCGATACTTATCAGCCAATCACGATCGTAGAGTCGGTGGTGCGTATTCGGGGAGAGGCTGACTCAGCCGGGTCTGAGCTCTTGTCAGAGCTGCGGGACCAAATCCATCATCTGCAGTTCGCCTGCCAGTCTATTCAAGCTCGATCGGCGGGGGATCAAATCCTGCGCAGAGTGCTCGGTAGTTGCTGTTCGTCGGGGGCTGACGGTAAAGACAAGAGCCTTCGCATTGAGGACGTCTGCTCCGCTATGGACCTTTACAAGCAGTCTTGGGTGCTAGCACCAGAGGCTGACGTGGAGATTGAAGCCGTGACACTTGGCAGGATGGCCAGCGTGTACAGCGTCATCCTCAAGATGCCGGATCATGCCCATAAGTATCATCTGCAGGTGGTGCAGCTAGCTCTTCCCGTCATGAAGGAAAGGATAATGAAGTCCAGCTGGTACACGAGAAGCAACCAAGCCGTGTCCGAATACCAGGAGAAGCAACGTGCAAGGGAGGTGGAGGAAGAGGCAGCCAAGCTGAAGATAAACCGGGAGATGATAGAGATGGAGCTGAAAGAACTGAAGGCGGAGGAAAGCGAGGGCGCGGAGGCGTTTTTGAAATTCTTGTATAGCAAGTACCCGCCCAAGAACCCAGAGCACAAGATGCCTGAGGTCGGCTCCCCCTCTGTCACCAAAAGGGCTCTGATGGCTGCTCGCCTTCATTACCATCCTGACAAGAACATGAGTCACGGAGTGAAATGGCGTTTCATCTGCGACGAGATTCTCAAGATTCTGAATGCCAAATACGAGATCTGCAAGGACCTCACTTCTTGAACTCTAACCTTTTCCTAAAGTAGTGCTTTTTTTCCCCCCCTTTTTTCCGTTTTTCCTTTCTTCCTTTTTTCCAGAAAAAAATAAAAAAACGAAACGAAAAAAGGGAAAATGCTCCTGAGTCACCTTTTTAGTAGTTTGAAATTAGCAAGAAAAGACGAAGTGGCGCCGATGTCATTCGTTTGAGTTTCAGAATCATGTGCAACTTAAGCGGGGGGTGGAAATTCTGGCCCCTCTTTTTTTTCTGAAGTGGCATGCATGCAGATTTAGCCGCGGCGCCTTTTTTTTTTTTTGCCCCTGTTGTTTCGAGCGAGAACTGCTACAGTTGTTGCCTCATATTCCAAACGCTAGGTCGGTGTGACCCAGGAGCCGTTGCCCCCCCCAAAAAGAGTAGTGCAATGCACCTCAACTTCCACGTTGAGGTTGGCCTTTACCACTCCCAAGTGTCGCCGCTCCTCGTTCCGTTGCTGGTCACAGCCACAGACCAGCAACACAACGAGGAGGCTGCCAATACGTTTATTCATGAATCAAGCAGTCGCTCCTGTTCCGTTCCTTCTCTCTGTGACATGTCTGTGTAGTTCCCCGTGTCTAAATCTACTAGTAAGTAAGTAACCATGCAGATAAGGGTAGGGAGCAGAAGTGCTTTCCGGTCGGTGGGCAGTGGAGGCTGTGGAGCCACTTCGTTGCTAGTCGTAGAAATAGAACAAGGCCCCCGCAATGGACATACCTACCTCCAGCAGAGTCGCGAACGTAGAGGAGATGGCTGGCCGCATGGAAGGGGGGCGGGGATGGTGTTCATTGTTCTCCTTCGACGTGGAGGATGTCATGATGACAAACCACCTGAAAGGCTGAAAGCCGTCGCCCAAATGCCACAGCAATCCACTCCGCGTCCAAAAGCGAAAGGGAAAGCTGGCGAGGATGGTGCAAAGCCGGACGGCGGCCGGGACTTTTGCGACGTGCGCGCGTGATTCGCTTGTGCTTATCCCCTGCAAGCGAGGTTTTTTTTTTTTTTTTTTCCTCCTGCAGTTTCCCCATTCTCTGCGGCCATTTCTTCCTCAAGCTTTTTCTTTGTTTTCAAAGTTTTCCTTTGCAGAAACTACGCTGACTTGTTGGCGTGCATGTGGCGCCCTTCTTTGTTTTCGAAATTTTCTTTTGCTCACTGAGTCACTGGCCGAGGTTTTTTTTTTTTTTTCCCTCCTGCAGTATTGATGCCGGTGTCGAATACAGCCGTGCATCTTTTTTCGTCTTCGCTGGCTGTGCGTTCAGCCAGTCGTCTCTTCGACGTTTTTTTTTTTCTCTTCTTCTTCTTCTTCTTGTTCTTCAGAAACTACGCTGACCTGGATGACGAGCTCGCTTGACGTTTTTTTGTCTGTGCTGGCCGTACGTGGTCACGTTGTGCCAGTACAGTACTACTCCCTTGGGAATATTCGCCAACAGTTAATCCTTCCTTTTCGGAAGCAATCAATGATTCAATGCTGATTGGCAAGAGGTGTGTGTGTATGATGTAGTTTTTTCTTTGCAAACCTGCCCCTGTTGGTGAAGCGGACTGCTGCCCCCCCCCCCCGAATAGAAGGGGCTCTTTTTTTGTCGACCTTTCTGCCCTTTTTTCGCATGTCTTCTTGTATCGCTGTTAGTTAGTTTCTATGTACACTGTTTCCTCGTCTTTTTGTTTTCTTCTTCTTCTTCTTCTTCTTCTTCTTCTTCTTCTTCTTCTTCTTCTTCTTCTTCTTCTTCTTTTTTTCCTTCAGTGTCGTCACCTTTTCAGCGTTCTTCATCTCTCTTTATCTCGCTAACAATTTTGCCCTCTCGTCCATTCTCCCCATCTCTTCCTCTCTCGTGAACTTTGTCCTTCTCTCTTCGTCCCTGTTCATGTCTTCGTCATGTCTCTTCATCTGTTCTTCGTCTGTCTTGCTCACTCCTACCTCCTATCAGGCCGAGTGTAAACATTGCCACGTCCGAGGTCGTTGTACATGGAAGGAACAGAAAACATACGCCGCATCCTTTCTTTTTTTTTTTTTCTGGTCGGGAAGGTTCTTAAGGTATATATCTCCACCCACAGAGGGCGAGGATGATACTCATAAATCGAGAAATGGACTGCGGTCCTGGCTCGTTCGTCTTGGGGATTGGAGTGAATGATTAATAAAGACAACTGAACTGGGGGCAATCGAATTCCATGATTATGAAACGCGAAATTCGTCTATGTCATAAATTGCAATCAGACTCGCTTTCTTCTTTACTTCACGCACATGCAAACAGATGGCGATTCACACTAGCGCAAAGCGCTCACTCAAAGTTCAGAGATATGGAAACCAGAAACGCAGTTCAGATAAAAACTCGCTTCCACAGGCTATGGCGCATCAGGGCCTCTACACCCCAACTCTCGTCACTGTGTTTGCCACCGATCACACACACACGCTCAACACTCAACTCTGGATCTCCCTGAATACTCGGCACACTTCACTCTCTTACACACGCACACACACATCTAAGTCTATCTTCCTCCTACAGCGGCTATGGCCACTTCTACTACTACTGACTTCTACTACTACTGACTATGGCTACGATGTCTCCCTTCAGCCCACTTCTACTTCGGGCGACCTGCAGACCACCTCGCAGCGCTTCGGCATGGCTCACGCAGCAAATGAATGAATGGCTGGGCGCTGCCTCTTGATTTATACTTCTGTAACTCGTTGGTCTGCCACTTTCCACCAGGCCCATGGTGCACACAGTCCCTCATGGTACTTGCTTGACTGGACTGGGACTGACTGGGACTGACTGGACCTGCATGGGTTTGCACTGCCAACTGGATGCAGTCGCACTGCCGACGTAATGCAGTTGGGCTCATCACTTGCCCACTTGCCTCTGCCTAAAGGTGAGGCAACTTCGAAAGGCCCCTTCCGGACCTTCCGGAAGTCTGTGGACTTGGCCTTTTGAGTACTGTAGCAGCTACCACCTTGACCTTTCAGGACTGTAGCAGCTACGACCTTGACCTTTCAGAATTCCTACAGCTACGACCTCTATAGGGCTGTGACTCCTAATCGACAGACCTACAGACCGAACCCCTACCACTACACAGACCTAAGACAGACAACAACTGCCAAAACAAAGGTCATGGGTTCAAACACTCACAGGGTCGACTCGATACTGTACACGGGTAGGGAAAGGTCTGGGTGGGGGTCGAACTCTGGGCCCGCATCTGTGACTGCAAAAGGTGAAAACCGTTTCACTCCCGCTGGCCTAAATTCAAGGTCCTCCGAGAATACTTCAATCCAAGGCAGGATCTTTTCCTTTCTTATCTTTTTCGTAGGCTCGGATGACATTGGGAGTTGTCTCTAGAAGTTCTGTTCGTGTAAACCAGCGGTCGTCCTCTGGTTCAATGTCGCCAATGCCGTACCTCTACCTCCTGTTCTGAAGACATCTTCACCTACAATATCGTCAATGTCGTACCTTTCGTCCATGTCAAGAGGAATCATGGACCTCCGTGATGGGAATTGTCTACTTGTGACGCAAGGCAACATCTTTGACGCATGGAACACTGGGTAGGTGTGGAGGTATGCTGGAGTCTCAATAGTATAGGACGGTCCATCCTCTCCGCGCTTGACTTCTAAGACTGGCCACGGTCCTCTATACACAGCCAGTAATATCTGTGAGATGTTCTCCGCAGGAGCGAATTCTTTTGACTTGACCCAGACTAAGTCGCCTACTTCAAACTGTGAGGGGTGAGGATGCTTATTGGCTTGCTCTGTCATTCTATGCTGGGCTTTCCTGAGGTTGTCTACAACGGTAGCTATCTCTTTTTCGTGCTGTATCGCAAACTCTGGTGTATCGGGCGGTAGCCTCTGAATCTGGTCCCAGTTCAGTCCTTCAAACGGTGTACGCGGTCTAAAGGACTTGTGCAGCTCGTTGGGAGTGCGACACATGGTTAGGTGCACACTGTTATTGTAGGCACTGGCTACCTTTGGGAGCATCTCATCCCAGTTGACCTGATCGGGCCTAATCTACATCCTAAGAACTTGTTGCAGGATCTTGTTCATCTGCTCAGTCTGGCCGTTAGTCTCGGGGTGGCGGCCAGATGACATTAACAACTTTGACCCATAAACTCTCATCAGCTCCTGCCAGTTCTGACTGGTGAACCTGGTGTCTCTGTCACTAACTATCGACAGTGATATACCATGTTCACTGATCCAATGATCAAAAACCTTCTGAACTAATTAATTTGTTCGTGCCTCTGCAGGCAGAGGAACAAAATCTGCATACTTGCTAAATCTATCAACTATAACCATGGCTTGGCTCTTGCGGTGCCTACTCTTGACATGAGTGTCCATAAAATCAATAGATATTGAGTCTCCTGGCTGATCTGGAATAGGCAAGGGTCTGAGAAGACCTAGAGGGGCGCGTGTAGTCATCTTATTTCTCTGACAAACTTTACAACTGCGAACATAATCTATGCAGTCAGCCTTCATGCCAGGTCATATATACGCGCGCGTCAGGTTGGCTAGTGTCTTTTGCCAACCGAAATGTCCCTCAGTGTTGTGGCGTTCCCCTAAGATCAAGCTACGGATCTCCTCACTGTTAGGAACGCATAGGCGGTCCTCTACGTCAGTCTTCTCGAATAGTAACCCATCAGTAGTGTGGTAATCTGGTTCAGACTCTGGGGCCTCCTTAACTTTTTTTAGGAGGTCACTATAAACATTGTCCTGTGCATACGCTTCTCGAACTTTCTGTTGCAGGTCTCTCCCTATATCCAAATAGTGAACTATTGCTCCAAAGTAGTCAGGTCGTCTACTTAGAGCATCCGCCACTACATTGTACTTTCCTTTGACTGGCTTAAGCTCAAAGTCATATTGGTCTACCCCTGCGGCCCACCTAGTAAACTTATGCGTCATCTTGGCCTGAGTCTTTAAACACCTCAGCGTCTCGTGGGCTGAATAGGCTTTGAAGTGCCTCCTAAGCAAGTAATGTTTTCAATGCTCTAGTGTTTGCCTAAGAGCATAGAGTTCCCTCTCGTAGGTAGATGTTGCTAC